ACCGAAATATAACCTCACATATAACATACACTCATTCACCTTAGAAATGGTGAATACACTCATTCACCTTAGAAAGTTGTGCCTATTTCCTTTAAGCTGTAGTTTTCTTATATAAAAAAGAGGGCATAATCTTATATAAAAAAGAGGGCTTAGGAAATTTGTTATGAGAGTTAAATTAGATAATGCTTATCAGGCACTTAAGCTCATGTCTAGCGCATAGCCTGAGCCTCTGAAATGTAATTATTTTTTATTGCGCTCATGCTTATTTCAAAGAGGAACATATGTGCTACCATAAATTAGCCAACTGTAGCCTGCCCATTATCGTCTCCAGCCCTGCTACGTCAATTATGTGCTATTATTATAGATTATGATAGAAATCTATTTTTTACATGGAGCTGACGTTTTTTTCTCAGCAATTATATATATATACACACACACAGGGGGTCCATAAAGTTCGTGAAAAAAAAAGCACACAAATTTTATGGATATCTTGTGTGTGTGTGAGTGTGTGTATATATAATTTTTTACTTCTGTAATAGTCACTATCACTTAAAAAATTACGAAAGTATTTTTCTGTGGAACAAACTCATGAGCAGCCACAGTAAGAGGAAACCAAGTATAGAACTTGGCCCTAAAGGAGGCACTTGATTGGGGAGAAAAGAGGGAGAAATACACAGCAGCTAAACATCAAGCTGACCATCCCAGATGCACTGGAGGTGCAGAATCCATGCAGTGAACGAGTCTCTACAGACACCTCGTTAGACCTGAGTGTATGGAGCTGACTAATCCCAACTGTGTCAGGAGACCAGAGAGCCAGAAGGAATGCTACAGGACTTCATTACTTGGACCTCGAAGTCCAAGCAGGAAAAATTCAAAACTTAATAGAGTAAATTCAGTGGCCGCTTTAGCACACAGAAGACAGTTCCTTTGTGTAGAGAAAAGAAAAAATCCAGCTATAATATCCTCCGAATAGATGTATTTAATATTGAAGCCATATTTTAAGACAAAGCTGAAATTCTATTTTTTTTAAAAATCCACTGATGTAATATTTAAGGTGTCGGTCATTCATAGAATTTCTTTCTATTGAATAAGTGGTTTTACCCTTGTGGAAAAATAACTGTATGTCAACATGTATGAACTTAACTATGATTAAAAATGCATAGTTAAGTTGGCATTGATGTCAGTAATGGGCCATACTTTTTATTCAACCTTTAGAGTACAAGGCCATCTTGCCAGTACTGATGTAATTTTTCTGCATGACAAACACCTGAAGCACCTGACTGATGATCATGATCTAACCGTGGCATAATGCCTCTAATTCAAGTTGCACTCCGTGTAAATAAAGGAAATCTCATGTACTTCGATGTAGATCATCCATTTCATTTAGAGAATTCAGATACAAATAAAATGGAGAGTGTTGTAAGAACGAGAGTGAGAATGAGGGAGAAATCAGAAAACAGTCCATCCATGAAGTTAGAAGAGTCCAGACAGAGGTGAAGACAGACAGATGCAACTTCACATAAGTTGAATTTAGAACATGAAATATGATGGTCTTAATTTGGGACTACACAGGAGTAACCATATTTACATGCTCAAGGCGTGTTTCCTTTGTGGTTTAATCCAAAAATAGTGATTCAAAGTAAACAAACCTAGAAGCTTAGCCCATCACAGCCACCAGCCTGTTCTATGAACTCCTGCAAATCCTTGAAGTTAACTTATCTCAATTTCCCTCTCTCCAAAGTGTAGAAGTTAGAGTGAGAATTGATTTCTGAAATGCCTTCTAGTTTTAACCCTGGGGCAACCTTTGGTGAATTCCCTTCTGTCATGTCCTAAGTAGCTTTAACTTGTCACATCACTGGAACACGAACTTAGCACGCCTTTCAAAAAGTTGTACAGCCCAGGTGTTTCTACAGTTTCATCCTTAAAGTTAATTCTCAAGTTCTTGTTCTGTATTCCTACCTCTTCACCTTACTTTTTTCTAATAATATTTGTCTAAAAAGGTGTGAGTTACAAATCCTGAGACCTAATATTTGGAGAAAAGATTCACACTACTTCTTGGGGTGTTGTAAAGGAGGAATCATCTGTGCACTAGAAACGCAGTTCCTTCAGGCTGTGTCCCCCACCTGCACCCCATGAATACCTCCCTTGCTGTCTTCAGCTCCTATGGGTGAAATCCAGAGGTGACAACACCCGTGACAGAACCAAAAGAGCATAAGCGTTCCTGATTATGTGTTTCTAAAAACTTAGAAATAAGACAGAGAATCCACACTTTAGAGCTAAAATGCTAGCATTTGAAAATACTGATTCTTGTTGTAGTCACAGAAATGAAAGCAGCAGGCTGGGTGTGGAGCTCATACCTGTAATCCCCACACTCTAGGTAGGAGGCTGAGGCAGGTAGATTCCTTGAGCTTAGGAGTTTGAGACAAACCTAAGCAAGACTCTCATCTCAACTAAAAATAGAAAAACGAACTGGCTTTTGTGGTGGGCATCTGTGGTCCAAGCTACCTGGGGGGTAAGGCACAGGACTGCTTAAGCCCAGAGTTTGAGGTTTCTGTGAGCTATGATGCCACGGCTCAACCCAGGGCTTCAGAGTGAGATTCTGTCTCAACAATAACAACAACAACAAAGAAAGAGCTGAAGGCAAAAGCATCTACTTTCAAACTGTATTTCAGTGCAGTATACTCTGGATTGATGTAATAATTTTGAAGATTTGCAGCAACTTTTCAAAAATGAATAAAATACAAGGTATACAGACTCGATCCTTAGACATGGAAGAAGTATTCCAAAGCTGGTGTCTACTTAGGCCATGTGCTCAAATTTAACAGAAAGAGTAGTCAGACTTACCTAAATGTTGACAAAATGTCTCACACACACACTCACACACACACATGCCCACCCCCACACAGTCATATATAGTTATCCAAGAATGAAACCTAAAAAACCCTCTACTTCACTTAACTTTCAGTAATGGTTACTTAACGATTTTTAACTAATTAGAATTGTCAAGGAACCCCAGTTGCAAGAAGCCCCCAAATCACAGGTGAAAGTAAATATTTACCAAAAATGAAGCAATCTTTGTCTGCTTTTAAAGAGCAGAAGCAAATTCACTATTGAGAATAATTAAGATCCGGGGAACACAGTTTTATCTTATCCCTTTAAAGTACAGTGTCAGCTAAGTCGTGTGCGATAAACAGGTAACGTTTAAAGTCTTCCGCACACCATCCATCTACCTCATCTACCTCCACTCTCATTATTGTTTCTAACTGTGCTTTCAAGCTAAGGAATAAGAGTTGAAGATGAAGGGGAGTTTTTTAAATTCTGATGTGGTTATTATCTTACTATAAAATAAATATGCAGTTTACACCTCTATTATTCTATATTGGAATCTAGTAGACCAATAGAATGTTTCCAAATGGCTCTACCTCTTCCAATCTTTATTCTAGTCCCTTATATTCTAACCAGGGTTGCGTACCATTTCTCATGAAATTCTGAAATTTTCTGCACCTCCATGAAGTTCTATTTTAAAAAACAGTTTAATTATTTGTTTCTAGATTTACTTGCTTAGCTCATGTTATTGAAGATAATAATTTTCACTTTTATGAGACTGTTTAAAATGTATTGCCTATAAGGTCTTAGAATGTTTTTTTTTTACCTATCAACAACACTTAAAATTTATCGAATTCTCGCTATATGGCAGGTAGTCTTCTTTACATATATTACACGGATTAATTTCTTTACTAGAAGGTAGGTACTATACATAAATTTTCTCATTTAATTCTTACAAATATCTTAAGAACCCACCACCTCCGGCATATGGGGCCGGTGCCCTACTCCTTGAGCCACAGGTGTCGCCCATTTTTTTATTATTTTGCCCTCTTGGATTAAGAAGCCATCTATAGAGGGGTAAATATTCCCCTACTTGAAAACTAGTGTTTGTTGATCGCAGAAATAAAAGCTAAGTTTACTTAACCCCATAGATCTACTTTTTAAATGTTATAAAATGCTGACAACCAGTGTGAATGTTAATTTTATAAAAATATGTTACACACAATGTAGTCTGAGGTGAAATATTAAGACCAGGCTGTCCTTGTTAAGGAAACTTATTCTATAAAGGAAAATAGAAATGCTTTAGGAATAAACCCATGACCCAAAGTCCATGTTGGATGCCTCTCAATTTTTAAAAGCATGCTGCATAATCTCTTGAAAAGAATTTGAATTCCAATATGAATGATAAATCGAATTATCCAAATAATAATGTAATCATAAAAGTACAATTAAATATGTTAGTACTTAGCAAATTATAACATTTGCATTGCTGAAATTGCAATCTTTTAACATGTGCAGATGGATTTAAGAAAGCCACCTTTAATCTTTTTTTCAAAAAGGTAGAATATAAAGCTGCAATTTGTTAAATAAGCACATCATCAAAACAATATAACAATGTTACTTCTAGTCTAGGGCACTTCCTCGGTGGAGTATTGGAAAGCACACATCTAGGGTAAGGTAGATTTAAAAAGTGTACTGCAAAACATCAGTTTTAAGCATAAAGTATTTATCTGTAGTAGTGTTTGAAAATAAATTTAATATATATTTTCTGATCTCTACTTTAATATACGAGTGGAAAGTGTGACTGGCAACTGTGTCACTGAGTAGCAAAACAGCGTCCAGCGGAATATTTGCACGTTTTCCGTTTTCCCAACAGGCGCTAAAGGTGTAACGGCACAGTTACTATTTTGTTTTAAGTCATAAACACATAGATCGGGTGTACATTAATGCCTTTATGGGGTACAATGTGCTGATTTAAAATACGATTTGGAACGCTTACATCAAGCTAGTTAATACAGCCTCACCTATCGTGCATGTTGCAAAGGTACATGTCAAATCTATTGAGCGCAGAGTATAAGCGTCTTAACACAATAATTAAGTAAACGAGGGGAAGGCTACATTAACAGTTACCGTTCTGAAGTCTCTCCCCGGCCAGCCCTGGGAAGGACACCTACCCAGCAAGGTCAGGACGCAGGCGAGGATGGCGATGAGCGCGCCGGTGCTGAGGCCGGCGGGCAGCACGTAGGCCTCGGCGTTGCAGGTCTGCGCGATGCCGTCGGCGTCGCAGTCACAGACGCGGATGGTCAGGGTGTTGGTGCTGCTGAGCGAAGGGGACCCGCTGTCCACGATGAACACCGGCAGGTAGTACACTGACTGCTCCTGTCTCCTGAAGCCGTTTCTCCGGGTCAGGATTGAGGCTGTGTTGTCTAGGACAGAGGAAGCAACGTCAGGTCTGATGGACTCTGTCTCTCCAAACTTGATTTCAATCACTCAGTTCATTTTGATTTTCTTAATTAGGGAAAGCTCTGGAGTTGCGGGTTTTTTTTTTTTTTTTTATTCAACAATTCCCTGAGTGCCTTTGGACAGAGAGACATATTCCCAGTGTAATACATTTTTAAGATATTGATGTTATTCTACACAGTAATGACCAGGGAAGCAGTTATAACGTAAAAGCAAATGTGAAAATGATTACGCATCACTCTTTGCATTAAGTACAACTTCAGAAAAACTACAGATAGTACCCCTAATAATTAAAAATAAAGAAACAGATATAAAATATTCAAACCATAACTTATAGAAAGGATGGTAAAAATAACAGGTTAAATATTTTTGCAGCACCATCATATAGCACAAATAAAATTAATCTTCAGGGCTCGGCGCCTGTGGCTCAAGCGGCTAAGGCGCCAGCCACATACACCTAAGGTGGCGGGTTCGAATCTCCAGCCCGGGCCCGCCAAACAACAATGACGGCTGCAACCAAAAAATAGCCGGGCGTTGTGGCGGGCGCCTGTGGTCCCAGCTACTTGGGAGGCGGAGGCAGGAGACTCGCTTGAGCCCAGGAGTTGGAGGTTGCTGTGAGCTGTAATGCCATGGCACTCTACCCAGGGGGATAGCTTGAGGCTCTGTCTCAAAAAAAAAAAAAAAAAAAAAATTAATCTTCAGTAATTTCTTTGACAAGTTCCAGGCTTAATATAGAAGCAAGGAAAATAAGTTACTTTAGCTTTATTTAAATTGAGCACACAGAGGACATTCATAAGAGGAATTATTATACAGTTAAAAAAATTCTATATTAGCATTTATAGCTACTGCACACATATATATAAACATTCGGTCATTGATAAAATTGCAGGTCATTTTTATTTAATTTTTATTCAATATTTGATTTCATCTAAACACTTGTAGTAATTTAAAAATTTCAAAAAGTTATCAGACTGTATTATATAACTGTGGTTTTTATATCAGAAATAGTTTTTTATCTGTTAGCAATTTCTTCAACTATCTTAAATAACCAATTAGAGAATTAATGGGATTCTTAAAAAGTACAGATATTAATGAAAATGTAACAGAAAAGGAGGAAAGTCGCAACCATAGTTCCATCCAGTGTACTTATCTGTACATATCCCAGCCTGTCAAAAAGATATTTATGCAATGTGGGTATGAAGGAATTAACAATCCCGTCATGAAAGAGCAAGCCGAAATGTACCCTGTCTCAAACAGTGCACAACAGCACGCTCACCTCAGACGGCAGAAAATGTCTCACAGGCAATTATAGATTAGAAACTGATACAACTGTTTGATTTTTCAGATCCCAACTGGTAGGTTTTACGTAAACAAATGTTTTCTTTTAAACCACAGGAATTTGGGAAGGTACTCACCGTAAAGCCACCCCGGGAACTGTTGAGAGATACTGTCTTGAGTGTGTTCGTGTACACGTAATAACACACAGGTCTACGCCTTTGCCTTCTACTAACTCACTTGAACTATTTGTATGATTTGATGCAAAAATTCTACAAAAGGGTTGATTTGTAGTCTAAGCTGACTGCTGTGAAAATAGTGCACACACGCACACAGGCAATGAGTCAAGGAACACAGTTGAAATGCCCAACATACGGGGTAAAAATCCTCTATAGAATGTTCTGTATTTGCCCTCTGAGATGGAGAACAACAGGACTGACTTTCTCCCTGTGTGCATGTTTTCCTCCAAAGCGCAGGGAAGGAGTTCTGGGTTGGACATAGGCAAATATTCAGTCGCTTGGTAGTGTGGCTGCCTGTACATGCAGACAGTATCGTGTATGGGCTACACAGCAATCCTGGTGGCACTGGATGATGACATGGGGGATATGTTGACATTCTCCCTGGGGAGGTCACACATTCCCCTCTCCACATCTGCATGGCGTGCATGTAGGTGACAAGGGTCATCCCTTCCAAGTATGACAAGTCAGAGTCTGGGGTTACCCACATACAGGAGATGCTTCCTTTTATATTACTAAAGGGACAAGATAGTTTGCCATTAAGGGGAGAATGAGATCAGGAAAGAATAGAATTTTCTGATTGAATTTTTGAGGCCCAAGTTGGATTTTCTGCACTAAAGAATGTGGCAGCCTCAGGCAAAAGTCCACATACCATCCATCTTCTGAGAGCAAGTCTTTTTAGACAAGCCAGTATTTGATTAGCAAATCTATTTCTATATATTTTTCTCTGAAACCAAATACATATAATAAATCTAAACAAAAAAGAACTACATTTTCCTTATAGTTGACGTGTACTATTTTCCCTTTGAAAATTTGAAACTGAAATTATCAGTTTCAAATGTTCTTCTGCTAAAATAAGTATCTTTTTTTTCTTTTCTTTTTTTTTTTTTTTTTTGGAGACAGAGCCTCAAGCTGTCCCTGTGGGTAGAGTGCCATGCTATCACAGCTCACAGCAACCTCCAACTCCTGGGTTCAAGCGAGTCTTCTGCCTCCGCCTCCCAAGTAGCTGGGACCACAGGCGCCCGCCACAACGCCCAGCTATTTTTTGTTTGCAGCCATCATTGTTATTTGGCAGCCTGGGCTGGATTCGAACCCGCCACCTTAGGTGTATGGGGCTGGATTCGAACCCACCACCTTAGGTGTATGTGGCTGGCATCTTAGCTACTTGATCCACAGGTGCTGAGCCTAAAATAAGTATCTTGAATGAAAACAATTTGAAATATATAAGTTCAAAATTAGATAATAGCAGGTTCTCATACTTTCTTTAAAAGGTTTTTTAATTTTCAGTATACATTAATAAGTAAAACAAGAATTTACTTATAGGTATTAGTAAAAATGTTTCTATAAGTTAGGAAATGCTAAGAGTGTTTACCTTTGAAGCAAGAATATGGTTAGGCATGGGAGGGAGTTCTTTTGTTATTTTTAATTTTATATTTCTTAGCATCGAAAGTATATCATCATCTTATTATTTGTATGGATTACTTTTATGTTTGTGTAAAAACAAAGAATAATGGATATTATTACTGAAGATATTGTCAAAGTTGATTTATGTTAAAATGCGTAAAGTGCCATTGTTTTCCTAATGTTTCAAGTTGTATCTATGTAGGACATACTAATTGAGGCATTTCACTGGCCCTCAACATATTTGACTATTTGGCTTGTTATGCAAATAAGGAAGCAAATGTCTGAAATAAAGGAGAAAGATCTAACTTTCCCTTCTATTTGACTTCAGCCCTAAAATGATTTAAATAACAGCTTCTCCTCCATGACAGCAAATCCATAGATAAAAATTACTTGAGGGCCTCTTTGCCCTTTAATTAATGTTCCTGCTGTTAAGAAAAAATCCATAATCAGCATTCCTGAGGGAGAAACATACTTGCTTAGAGAGTCTGTACCTGCTGTCCCCACCAGTGACAGTGATGTCTCACCTTTGTTATCTTTCAGTGAAAAGTTGTGATTATTTGAGGCGTCTGTTGTTAAGCTGAAGTAAAACTGATGTCCGTTGGAAGGTTCGTCTCGGTCAACCGCACTGATTTTCTGGATAACCTGGATAAAGAAGGTAAAATGTGAGACCCTGTCGTGGTGCCACGATACGTTTTGTGAGGCAAGGCAGAGCAATTGTCCATCTCAACATAAATACCATGTTCCTGAATGAGCCAGGGGAAAGGAAGGGCTGTATTACTATGAACTCAATCTACACAGGGGCTATGAAAAACAGATCCTGCCCTTTTCAAAGTTCACGTTTGAATTTACTTTTGTGAACCTAAGAAATCAGCTGGACTGACTGATTAGGCATCCCAGTAAACATACGAAACAACAAACAGTGGGTGAAGAAACCAAACTCAGATTGAACTGCACTTAAGTCCTAGAACTTGAAGACATTTACACCCTGCTGTGTACTGCGGGAAGCAGCCGGATGAAGCTTAATCGACTGTATTTCTCCTTAAAGAAATCCCAGCCTCCCAGCCGTTAGCCAAGGAACAGGGCGTTTACAATATTTACCTTTTCTTCCTGAGGAGTTTTCATCACTCCAATTAAACTAAAATTTGAAAGTTCCTTTAATATTAGTTCATGCTACACATCAAAGTATTGGCTTTGCTGAAACAAGCTGATTATATTTTATCTTAAAGCTGGAAGAATTTCAAAGGCAAATGCTACTGGATGTTTTTTGTAAAAAATCAGAAACTAGAAGCAAGATGTCTTAGAAAACTCTCACCTGCCCTGGCTGGGCATTTTCACAGACTGTGGTCTCATAGTCCATGGCAAATTCAGGCGCGTTGTCATTAATGTCAAGGATGGTTATGGCCACGTAGCCTCTTCCTACTTGAGATGGATTCTCTAATAAATAAGAAACATGTCTCATCACTTGTTCTGATAGAAAAGCTGCTATTCTGCTTCCGTTTCAATCTGGAAACTTATATTAGAAACATTCAGAATCAATGAAAAATATTTACCTTTCCAAAGCACAATTCTAACAGTAAAACGTCACTGCCCAGATGAAATCTAGACTCTGTTCTTTAAAGTGCTCTACAGATAAACTGATCCAAATATACATATTTATGTGTATGTTTCTGTGTAAATGTGTGTGTATCCACAAACACATACACACACACTGTATGTATATATATGAATACATATATATGTAGTATTTACATATATGTAGTATTTTTTAGTCTCTGATAAGTATTTTTATATACAGTATTTTTCAGTCCCTGATGAGAATATTGCTGAAAGAAGAATGAATAGTAAGCCATAAATTTCAATATCTTTGATGCTTGAGCTCATAGTTGTATAAATATACATTTCTATTATAAACAAATGTGTTATATATGCATGTACATTAAAATATAGCATATGCAGATGTACACCTAATTATGCATCCTTTTCAACACTTTTATTACAGGGACTAAAATTAATTCAGTATCAGAATATTCAAATCTGGATGTCTATATTAGCTGGGGATCAATCTGCTATTATTTCTTTTAGCTTTTCACCAATTCCATAGCAGTATAAATAAGATATAGGAATTATGACCAAAAACCAGCAAGAGGCACTCCGAAGATAATTCAGACTCATTATTTTTAGTCATCTCTTTTCATTACTTTTGTAAATATTAGCATTGAAAGCCAATGACGGTAAACACATTTCAAAGTTTAGAAGTTTGTGATTTTCAAGTTCTGTCAGCTCAGATAAGCGAATATGATAATTTAAGTTGAATTCATAAACCTCATGACAAGCTGTCCTCCACTCTCTCTGCCCCCCTCCTAATTCAGTTTGAAACCTCACAACTTACGGCTCTCCATGGCAAGGACTGTGATATTGTGAATAGCATTTGTCTCTCGGTCCAGAGATTTGGCAGTTGTGATGACTCCGCTGTTGGCATCAATATTGAAGTATCTCTCCAAGTCTGTGTTTCTGTCAATTGAATACCTAATTGGACATTTAAAAAAGGCAATATTTGTGTGCGTATTATAATTTGCCAAAATTATTTCATTCCTTGTGTAGCCAGTCACGCAATCCTGCTGACTTTGTGACCTGTCCTGTTAGTAACATAAATACAGAGTTTGTGGGAAATGTTACCCCCATAATAGATGGTTCACAAGCTGTATGCCACTAATCTGCTTGCTCTCCTGTCGGATGATATGAAATAAATACCACAGTATAGTATCTTCACAGCGTCTTCATAGCTTGGAATTCATCATCATTATTATTTCAGCTCCTGAAAATCATTTTCAATGGATTTAGTAGCTCCGTCTTTGTTATAGATCCCTCCAAGGTGAAATGCCTGCGGATCTTGCTCATTTGCTAGACTTCCGAACATCTTATGCTTTGATGACACCCCTGGTTTTAACTCTCTCTGGTTTTGGTACCCTTCACTCAGGGGCCTTGATCAGGGTTCTATAGACTTGTTTCAAAGTAGAAGACCTAAAATTGCATGGGTATGTTGCATGGGTATGTAAAGTTGCATGGGTATGTAAAGGCCTTTACTCAAAACACCTGCAATCCAAACATCAGTGACAAATTACTGCTCCACTTGTATTCTTATTGCTTATTATTAATTGTCTTATACAAAATTGATCCTCCCTTCATTAATGATCGTCTCTGAATTCTCCTTACTCTCTTTCTAGTAGGGTGATAGGAAGAATCTCATTTAAAAACAAAACTTAAACAAAAGAACAAACAGAAAAACTAACACGCACCCCCATATTAGGCATGATAATTAGTAACTGATTTAAACCCACCCATGATCCATCAGGTTGACATCTCACATCCATGCCCCTTTGATTCCAATGATCTGTTCCTCTGTCCCAGTTTAGTCATGGATTCTTATAAACATACCTCCAGCTTATCGGTTCTTATATACAAACTACTGGTGAAAACTACTTGAAGAATCTTACTCTCTGTCCACCATCTTCTCCTCCAGCAATTTTTGATCCTGATAAAGACCTACAATCCGTCGATGCTAGTGACGGCTTCTCAATATCAATGTGCCTCAGTAACCTCACTTATCTCACAATGATCACGTCTGTGTGTGTGCCTGATGCATTGTAATACCTCAAACTCAGTGACTTACAAAGCTAATAGGTTTTGTAAAAAAATCACATAGCACAGAGAGATGATATGCTACACAGCGGCTTCAATATACTTTATCAACAAAGAACAAATGACAGGTGTGAATTCATCAGGGAGTTTTATGAAGCTGTTCATTGTACCATTTCTGAAACTGAAGTCGAAACAAAAAGAATGCTCACTAAAAATCCTTCCAATGTTCATTCCTGATCCAGAGTTTAACGTGAGGCTATCTAAAGGAACGGATTTATACATCCCTTTAAACGATTATCAAAAGAGGTAATTCACAATTTTAAAATCTTATTTTATTATTAATATTGAAATAACGGGAAAGTTGATTTTTTTTGTTTGTGTTCTCTTCTATGAATTTTAACGCACACATGACTTATGCAACAGTACTAATACCTGGAGACAGAATGTTCTATCACCACAAAACATTCTTGTGCTATCTTTATGTAGTTGTTAAACAAATTCTCTCCAACCACTAAGCCCTCACAATCACTGATCTGGTAGCCAACACCATAATTAAATCTTTTGGAGAATATCATGTAAAGGGAATCAGGCAGAACCTAATCTTTAGGGACTTTTCACTCAATGCGATGACTGAGATTTATTCTACTTTTGTGCCCATTTTTTAAAATATTCAAATGGATATATGACAAACATACATGGAGATGCTTACGTGTTCATTTATTAAAATCTGGGTTTGAATATTCCTCTATCAGAAAGTTTCAAATTACATATTTAATTTTATTTAATAGGGAATTGTTCATGTTATCTATTTCATGTTGGGTGTGTTTTCAAAGTGTACACTTCTTGAAAAATTGGCCCATTTCATCTAAATTGTCAAGCTTCATGTAAAGTATAAATTTACATTGGCAAATCTATTCATTGTATACTATTATCTTCTTTTCTATGATTGCACAATCTGTGATGATACTTCCTCTTCTGTTCCTAATATTTATAATGTGTTTGTGAACATTTTTTTCTGTCAGTGTTTATAGAGTTTTATTCATGTTTTGGACTGTTCAAAGAATGAGCTTCTGATTTCATTGATTTTTGTATTATTATTATATGTTTCCAAATATATTTATTTCTGCTGTTATTTTATTACTTTATATATTCAGCTTGCTATGGATTTGCAAATATTGTTTCATCTTCTACTTTAAGGCAAGGAATGGTAGGGGAAAAGTAATAGTAAACTCATCCCAGGTTTGAAATAATTTTCATAGTGACCTTCTTCCTCAAACTGCTTGCTAATCTGTGCTTTGAAGCGTCTTGAGTAGCTGTATTCAATCTGGGTTTGATAGCTGCATTTAATGTAAGAGACAGGGTAGAGTATGTTTACTTAAAACAGGATTCTATGTATGGCTCAGCGCCTGTAGCTCAGTGAGTAGGGCGCCAGCCATATACACCTGGCCTGGAGGGTTCAAACCCGGCCCAGGCCTGCTAAACAACAATGACAAATGCAACCAAAAAATAGCTGAGCGTTGTGGTGGGTGCCTATAATCCCAGCTACTTGGGAGGCTGAGGCAAGAGAATCTCTTGAGCCCAAGAGTTTGAGGTTGTTATGAGCTGTGACGCCATGACAGTCTACCAAGGGCAACATAGTGAGACATTGTCTCTTAAAAACAAAACAAAACAGGATTATATGCATGCACATATATACTACACATATATACATCTTTATGTAGGCAGTATACATGTTTACTTGGATGTAGGCTTTATCTAATGAGTATAGAAAATTGATATGAATGTCCAATAAGAGAATTATAACCTAATACCCATGCATACATATAGCAACTGAATCAACATATAACCCTGAATTGTTCATTCTGTCAAATCTCTACATTAATAACTATGACAATCTTCATATATTCATGAAAAAGCAGAATCTAGACTTTAAAAGCAAAAAGTCCTTGAATTGGAAATACGTCTGTCTAATTGAGTTCATATAATTCCCCACAATGTTAAAGTGCATGAGTAAAACACCTCCAGCTATTATAACAGTCTCAGAGATCCCAGTATTAGAAAAAGGGATATTACATCACTGAATGCATTTACGATGTCAAATGTCTTCAGCTACTGTTCACCTCATAGAAAAATGACTCATCATTTAATGATGTAGTTATAACTGAAAGCTCTATATGTTTGGAAGAAATATGGGTAACCAAAGTTTCCATAATTCAAATATTTATTATTTATAAATTATAAACTTTGCTGCTTACACTTATAAATTGAATCCATTTGTTAATAGCTGCAATTCCACTTAGATCTCACTCAATAGTACAGCCTTATGGATACACACAGTTACATATGGTAAGATACGTAACATATGTGGTAATTTGTCATTTATGATTTCCTCATGTCTTCCTTTCCTTCACTTATACAGTCAACAATCATTCTTGAACAACTACAAGTGACACTCTGTTTCAGGAAATACATAAACAAATAGTTTTTAAAAATGGTAACCTGTCCTAGAGAATAATGAAGGAAGGGCAAGCCTGGAGACAGAACAGAATATTGACTTAAGAGACGGGAGACTCTGCCAAGGCCAAGGAGCAGACAGACTATCCCAAAGTCGTTATTATTACATTTCTTAATGACAAAGTCCAGTATTTAAGGCATTGCTTATTTTATATTGGTCCCCTGGACATGCAACAACCTGGAGCTGATATATGAAGCATTGGCTACTGTATGAAGTTAACCAAGAGTAATAATTTCTTAGCCAAGAAAATAAAGAAAATTTACCAGATCTTTAGAAAACTTTTTTTGGAAACAGCATCTCACTCTGTTGCCCAGGCTAGTGTGCTGCGACATCATAGGCTGCTCACAGCAACCTCAAAATCCTGGTCCAAACGACTCTCCTGCCTCAGCCTCCTGTAGCTGGGACTATAGCACCGCCGCATGCCTGGCTAATTTTTTCCTATTTTAAGTAGAGACAGGGTCTCACTGTTGTTCAGCTTAATCTCAAAATCCTGAGCTCAAGGGATCCACGCACCTCAACTTCCCAGAGTGCTGGGATTACAGGGGTGAGCCTCTGTGCTTAGTTTTTGTTTGTTTGTTAGTTTAAGAATGAGCAGTGTGAACTATCTCTGTCTTGGAATCTGGGAAGAAAGGCTCTTTTAGAGGAATGGAGAAAACTATTGTTTGAAGTTCTGGATAGACTAGCTTGAGGACTGACAAATACTACTGCCTGTGTCACCTGCAGGCTGAACTGGAAGCATGAGGACAGGTCATTTCCTAACCATGAACCAAGGTTAACTGCAATGCAACTTCTGTTGCTGTTAGTTGTGTGGACTCACAATTCCCTAGCTTCTGCCTACACCACAAAATCACAGTGCAAACCACTTTCTTTAAGTGTGTGTTGGAGAGACCCATTAGAGACATCACGCCCGTATTTTTGCAGTAACAGTAGTTCAGCCTGTACTTTATCCACTTATCATGCAGACAGCTCTGTACCTTAATATGTAGCCTCAGACTTGTTCCTGAGATTGTGTAACCTGCTGTACAGATGCCTGCATCATCTTTAATTCAAGCTCAATATATCTAAAAGCAAATTGATCAACCTTTCCCCCAGACTATCCTGCCTTCTGAACTTTCCCGTTTTCAGAATGTATTGAATATTTAAAACACATTTGCCTTTTTTTCTCTAATTCCCAAACAAACATGTGAGGGGTCATGTGTGGCAGAGGCTTTATTTGCAAGCCTCACATCCCTGCTTCTGTTTGAGGCAGCCGTGTGTCCAAGCTGACAAAGATGGGAGGGGTCTGCTGTGCTCTCCTGCAGATGTGCTGTCCCCATACTGAAGTTTTAGAAAATCAGGTGCAAAGTAAGTTTGTTGAATGAGTCTAGTTGTT